CTATAAAAGGAAATAAAAACAGATGTATAAATAAATAAATAATAAAACAAGCTTCCAAGACATTAACAAGCAATAAAGGTTTGCTCGCAGGCCAACCGTTTTCCGGCTAATAAGCGTATCCGTTCTAAATCATTTGCTCGTTAGAAGATGCAGATATCAATAGCCGTTCTTAAAATAAATGTCTCTCTCAAGGTCTTGCAAAAATATTGACTGAACCTTGGAAGGCTATAAATATCTACTATCAAAACATAAAGAAACGAAAGAATTAATATCTGAACTGGAAAAGGAGGATAAAAAAGACCAATCACCGTAAAATCTACAGAGAACGTAGACGACGATATGTGTAAAAAAGAAGACAGATATCCCCATATTTTTCCGGCACAAGAGGCGATGAAGAGTGGAGCGCCTTGGCACCTCACTCAGCAAGATTACCTCCAGTATAAATAGTCACGTTTAATATGAGGCCTCAGGACTCAAAAGGTAAAATTAGCTTCCCAAACACTCATGCTCCCGTGCTCGTGCCGCGAGTCGTGACGTCACGGTAGTCACACAGCCCCGCCTTCCCCACCCTTCCTCTGATGACGTCATGGTAGACACAAGCTACTCTCATGCACCCATGACCCCCTTCCTCCCTCCCCCTTTCCCCCTCTATATGAAGACGGCACTTACTAATTAAGGTAAATATAAGCAAAGCTGTGTGCGTCTGACGTCAGATGAGGGCAGGTGAGCGAGTCATTGACCCCGGAAGAAGTCGCTGAAGGTTTCCGCGGACCGCAAGTGTTTAGAGTGTCACATAAGACAATTACCCGACTCGTCTACACCTGTTCGAAGTACAGGGATGAGGCGGCCGCGGAGGGAGCGGAGGTGGCGGTAGAGGAGAGTGGTAATGTTTGATTGTCTGTCTGTTTTTCTCTTAATTTTGTTCTATTCCCCTGCTCCCCTTCCCTTCTTCCCTCTAACTTTCTTCAGCTCTTCACCCTTTCTCCTTTCCCCTTTTCATCCTTATTTTTTCATCTTTCCCATTTTGCCCCTTCTCTCTTCTTTCGTCCTTCCAGATTCCCTTCAAAGTCAACAAGCCAGTAAAACTATTTCCCCCCCCCCCCCGTTCGCTCGCCTCCCCCTTCCACCCCCCCCCCCCTCGCTCCTTCCCCTCTCCTCTCCCGCTCCCTCTTTCCCTTTAGAAGAAACAGCCGGCCTCCCTCCCTCCCCCCTCCGCCCCTCCACTTTCGCTCTTCTTTCCTTAAACCAGCCCTCCCCTGTCTCCTCTTCTCCGTGTCCCTTCTTCTGTTCTGCCCCTTTCCCTCCCTAACCTTCCCGCTTCCCTCGTCCCTCTCCCTCTCCCCCTTTCCCCTTCCCAACTACCCCTCCCCCTTACCCCCAGACCAGCACCTAACAAAACGTCTTCCCCGGTCTGGCTCGCCTTGTGGCCGCAAATAGACCCGCCTTTAAAATAGTCTGTCCTTTGAGACGGCGGCGACGTCGGCGGCGGCGGAGCGAGGCGGACCGAACGCGTCTGGGGCTGGAGTTCGGCGGCGATTACTCAGTATTCACAAATCAATCATTGTTGTTAAACTAGTTACTAATCACTGATCTTGCATTGGTAAATGATAGTACTTATCACGTATCATTATTACTTAGTCGCCATCACCCCTCCCCCCCTCTCTCTCTCTCTCTCTCTCTCTCTCTCTCTCTCTCTCTCTCTATCTATCTCTCTCTCTCTCTCTCTCTCTCTCTCTCTCTCTCTCTCTTTCTCTCTCTCTCTCTCTCTCTCTCTTACATGCTACTTTGAAAACGAAACAAAAAATAAAAACGTTTACAGCCTTTACTGTTAGCAAGATTTTCTTTGCAGCATTCTTTCCAACATTCAAGCGTGTTGCATTTCCAAGACCAGCGACAGCCATTCAGGGGTATGGATGAAGTTTCCAGAGGGGTGGGGGGGGTGGAAATGGGGGAAGGGAAAGAAAGGAGAGGGAGGGAGAAGTAAGGGGGCCTAGGGTGGTCGTAAGGGTAGGGGAAGAAAGGGAGAAAAATGAGGAAGGAAAAGGAAAGAAAGGAGGAGAAAGGCGAAGGGAAGAAAGTTTGAGGAAAGGGATGTAAGGGTATTTTCCTGTTCTGCGGTGTGTGTGTGTGTGCATGCGTGTGTGTGTGTGTGTGTGTGTGTGTGTGTGTGTGTGTGTGTGTGTGTGTGTGTGTGTGTGTGTGTGTGTGTGTGTGTGTGTGTGTGTGTGTGTGCGTGCCTGTGTGTGTGTGTGTGTGTGTGTGTGTGTGTGTGTGTGTGTGTGTGTGTGTGTGTGTGTGTGTGTGTGTGTGTGTGTGTGTGTGTGTGTGTGCGTGCGCGTGTGTATGTGTACGCATTTGTACACATACATGCTTGCATGGACTTGTACATAGTTTTTCTACGACCATAAATAAACCTTTACCACACTATAATAAATAGAGAAATAGGAGTAAAACACCCCAAATATCCCTTTGTCCATAATTACTTGCCATTGTTCTCTGCACAAAGGAAACGCCAAGTCAAATACACTTTCTATACAGTTATATATCTTTGGTATACAAATCTTAAAATCATATATGGTCTTTCTCTTTCTTTCATTTCGTCTCATTCTTTTCACGTCATACTTTCATTTGAAAACAAAGAAATTTCACTAAAAACATACATGCATATATGCAAAACATATACACACAGAACCCTTCTCCCGCACATACAACCTCAACGTCATCCCCACACAACCACCCCTCCCTCCCTCACACAGACCCCACCCCCATCCTCCAAACACAACCCCCCAATGCCCCCCACCCCCACCCAAACACCGAAGGGGCTCAATGCCACTCTTGTCCTAACGCTGCAGCTATTAAAGCAAGGTGTTCGCTGTGGTAAGAGGAACAGCTGAGGCAGCCACGCGAAGGGATAATGGCTGCTAACACATCTACGAAGGAAGGGCAGGAATCGCTTTGGGTCCCGGGGTAAGGTGAGGAACGGGGGGCGGGGAGGGGGGAGAAAGGTGGGAAGAAAGGAAAGAGAGATTTTTTTAGAGGGAAGGGAAATAGAGAAGGGAATGAAATTGAGGATGGGAGAGGAAAAAGTAGGGAATGAAGAGTGGAGAAAACAGAGACGATTTGTAGAAGAGAAAGAAAGGAGGACAGAAAGAAGGGAAGCCGGTGCGAAATGTAGAGCAAAGGGAAAGAGGCAAATTAGAGGGAAGAAGGAGAAACAGGGAATAAAACAGGAGAAGAAAGTGATGGGTGAGAGAGCAACTACTAGAATAGAATCCCTGGGTATTGCGAACGTAAATGTTTATGCAAGAATCAGCTGTAAGAAATGAACACTAATCAGTCACCACTTATGAAGTCTTCAATCCGAGCATCACTTTCTGTCATGTCACCGCTTTTCTTCTTTAAAATGCCGAACTCTTTCACCACCCTCCTAACTCTCTCTAACTATGACGTCGGAAGCCAGTCACCACTGCTCTTGTTCTTAAACATTGTGACGTTATATGCCAGTCACCATTACTCCTTACACCCTATACCCGGGACGCCATCGCCATGCACCTCTCCCCTTACAGTTACGTCATACACCACTCACCACTTACCTTTATATTTAAAACTGGTGAGGTCATACGACAGTCACCACTCTCATACTCCTTACTATGGCATCACTACCTTCTTTGTACGTTAACTGTGACGTCATATACATGTTATCAATGCTCCTCAAACGTCATACACGAGTCACCATTCCCGTTGTCCTTTAAATCGTGACGTCATACCCATACGACAGTCAACACTCTGGCTGTCCTTTAAATCGTGACGTCACACTCGTCCGCCAGTCACCACTCCCGCTGTCCTTTAAATCGTGACGTGACACTCATACGCCAGTCAGTACCTCCCTTGTACTTTTGATTTGTGATGTCACACGTCAGCCACCGCTTCTAGTTATCCTTTGCGCCAGTTACCAGTCTTCTTTTACTTTAAACCGTGACATCATGCGCCAGACACTACTCCCTTTGCGCTTTAAAGTGTGACGTCAAACGCCACTCACCACTTCTCTTTACCCTTTAAACCTGTGACGTCATGCGCCAGTCATCACTCCCCTTGCCCTTTAAACTGCGACGTCGTACGCCAGTCACCACATATGCAGACCTTTAAAACGCTGTGACGTCAGCGAGGGACCTTCTCTTGCCTCCAATAAATTTGCAAGACGAAATGTATGAGAGTGAACCCAGTGACGAAGACGTAAACAACAGACGCACAGACGCCCGCATGCACACACGTAACAGACACTGACGCACACAGACATGCGAACAACAGACGCACGCACGCACACAGGATACTCGTTCGAAGGGACATTTGGACCCTGCCTGCGCCTCTCCATTACAAGGATGTCCCACGAAAACGCAGCTCCTCTGACGGCCTGCGAACCGTTTGGAATAACCTTGCAAAACAGAGTTTGATGCAAAGGCAGAAAATGAGAACGAAAGAAAAACAACAACACAAGCGAAAGAGACGATAAGAATAATAAAAAAAACGAAGTTAATAAGTCGCGAGTGTACGTATGACGAATCCCTCCGCCGCTCCCGGACCTACTGTGGCCAAGCGACGCTGCTTTGGTCATCACACTCGTCCCGTTGTCACAGTCCTTCGCCTTTCCTTCCGCCGCGTCCTGCCCTGCGTCAACCCCCCCTCCCCCCGCCCCACGGAGCGACGAAGACCAGGACGTGGCAGAAGCAACAGCAAGGAGAGGCGGGGAAAGGAGAGGCGGTTACGACAGTACCTTGGAAAGTTTCCCAGCGGGGGACGAAGAGCGGCCGTGAGCGAAGCCGATGGAATTTTTATCCGCGGCGCCGCAGAAAGGATCGTTCGTCCCTGGCTCTGGCACTGGCACTCCCCATACGCTATTCCCATCATGGACTCGCCTACAGAGGAGGACCCAAAACGTCGCCCCTCCTTGACGCGTTATGGGGACTTGCTGCCGGAGGGAATCCTCGTAAACACTAACTTGC